CCCTGAACCGTAAACCCTAAACCCTAGACCCTGAACCCTGAACCCTAAACCCTAAACCCCAAACCCTAAACCCTAAACCCTAAACCCTGGACCCTGGACCCTGAACCCCAAACCCTAAGCCATCCCTCAGGACACATGGACCCAAACAGGAAATTTCGGGCCCAAAAGTACCTAAATAGGGTTATCAGTTTTGGGTTTAGGGTTTAGGGTTTATGGATGTTTAGGGGTTTAGGGTTTAGGGGGGATTGCTTTAAAGCCAAAGTATATGGGTGGTTCTCTAAATGGTCTCTTGTTGTGAGCCCCCGAAATACGGTTGATGATATAAAATATCATCAACAGTAGTACGACACCCTTATAAAAAAAAGGATCCTAGAAGAGACCGTATTTTAGAGAACTACCCACATACTGTTTGGGCACATGGACCCTTAAAGTCAATCCCAAAAAGTCGGAACATGGGTTTAGGAGCATTCATAGTGCTAGGATCCCTTATACTTTACCCCTTAAGAGCATGCGGATAATCATGTCCCAACTTCCTAGCTAAACCCTTAACCCTAAACCCTTAGCAAGGAGCCCTAGTATGGACCATGGAAGCCTGACAGCACTTGTGGGAGCCCTTAGAGCAGCCCTTAAAAGCAACCCTTGAAGGAACCCTTAAACCCCAAAACCCCTAGACCCTAAACACTAAACGATTCGGTGTACACTGTTTTCTGTCGGGGAAGTGCGTCGTGTACGTATTGATGGGTTTAGGGTTTAGGGTGTAGGGATTTGGACTTTAGGGATTTAGAGGGTTTAGGTTTAGGGCTTGGGGATTGGGGTTTAGGGTTCTGGGCGTATAGGGCTTAAAAGGGTGTGGGTGGATGGGCGGATGGTCGGCATGGATGGATAAACGTGTGTATGCATGTGCAGATGTGCGTACGCATGCACGTAAGTATGTTGCTATAGGTGTGTAGGTATGTATGCACATCACGCATGTATGCTTTTTACGCGTGTCCTCCTTTTTGGAGCTTTGTTTAGAGGGCAGTCCTTGCTTGGCCGGCAAGACCTCGTCAGGTTCGGGTGGACGGCAAAATCCTTTACATAGAACCTCTATCACTAATAACCCGTATAGAACCAAGTTTGAATCCATATAGAACCCATAAAGTAACCTGTGTAGAACCAATTTCGAACCCATATAGAACCCATTATAGTAACCCGTAAAGAACAAATTTGAGCCCATATAGAACCCGTATAATAACCCGTATAGAACCAGTTTTCAACCCATAAAGAACCCATATAGTAACCGGTATAGAACCAATTTTGAACCCATATAGAACCCATATAGTAACCCGTATAGAACCGGTTTTGAACCCATATAGAACCCATACAGTAACCGTATAAAGCCATTTTTGAACCCATATAGAACCCATATAGTAACCCGTATAACGCCAATGTTGAACCCACATAGAACCCATATCCCTAAGGGTCCATGTTCCCAAACTGTATATACTTTGGCCTTAATGTAATCCCTGTATAGGTACTTTGGGGCCAAGGTATATACTATTTGGGCACGTGGACCCTTAGGGTATAGTACCCTAAACCCTAAACCCTAAGCCCTAAACCGTAGTAACCCTTATGGAATTCTGGTCGAACCAAGGCTTATGGCGTCTGCAAGGGGGCACGCGCCCCTGGTGGAGCTCTTGCTTGCTGCCCGCGCGAATGTAGATACAGCTCGCAGAGACAGTGGAGAATCAGCTTTGTACATGGCATGTGAGAATGGACACGTCGAGGTTGCCCGCCAGCTGATCGAGGCAAATGCTGACAAAGATAAGGCTCGCACAGCTGACGGGGCAACGCCACTTTCCGTGTTTTGCGATTTCAGGCATGTGGACATTGTACGTTGCCTATTGGAAGCCCGCGCTGATGGCGGGAAGGCTATGACTCGAGATAACTTGACCCCCCTCTTTTTTGCCTGTGAAGCGGGCCACCTTGAGATTGCCTGCATGTTGCTAGACAGCAAAACGTCGGTGGACGCTGCACGTGTCAGTGATGGAGCAACACCACTATTCATTGCCTGCCAGAAAGGTTACACTCCGTTGGTGCGCGCACTTCTGGAACATTCTGTCGACGTTGATCTAGCCCGCACGGACATTGGAGCGACACCACTCCTAGTGGCTACCGAATTCGGATGGGTGGACGTCGTCAAGCTACTACTACAAATACGGGCAGACAACGAGAAAGCCCGCTCAGATGATGGTGCGACGCCCTTGTGTACCGCGTGTCAGCACGGTCGCTTGGACGTCGCGCGCCTCTTGCTGGAGCATGGCGCCAGTGTAGAAACAGCCGGCACTGGTGGAGCAACGCCCCTTTACGTGGTATCTCGGCATGGAGATTTGGTGGACGTCTCCAAACCCGATCCCGGTACATCCCTAGACTTTCCCAGGCCCCTAAAAACCCTAAATGTCCCTAAGCCTCAATTAACCCTAAACCTGAGCCCTGAACCCAAATCATCCCGAAACCCTATAAGGGTCCAAGTACCTAACAATCATATACTCTTGCAAGTAGTAACCTACATAACTACTATCCGTAAGTACCTGATTATATTGGGTTCTTTGGACCCTTGGGTTAAGGCATCTCGGCATGGTCACGTTGCAGAAGTACATCTTCTGATCGAGTTCCAGGCTACCATCGAAGGAACGCCTCTTCTCGCTGCCACAGAGTTCGGTCACGTAGAAGTTTTTTGGCTCGAGCTTTATCCTACATGACATACTTGCTTAGGGGTCCTTGTCGTAACTTCCTTCTATCAGTCCTCAGAAAGATCGATTGTGATAAGGAGCTTTAGGGCTTCCTAATCTCATGACGTTTTTTGCAATACGGACCTGCAAACCATAACTGGAAGGTTTGTAGGGGTATACCTGAGCCCTGAATAATCTACGTTGTGATTTTGGGGGATCATTACCATATCTTCGTTATATAAATCGTAAAGGGGAGGTTTGTAGGGGTTAAATAGATTTAGTCTGAGAGTTTATGGAGTATTTTAGAAGATACAGGGCTTAGGGCACAGGGCTCATCATTGAGGGTTTTGGATTTAGGGGTCAGGCTTTGGGGCTGAAGTGGTTGACAGGGTTTCATAGCTGTCCACAGCTTTTTTGAGACACCTGTTCTGTCTGCAAAGGTCTCTGCATGGGTTCTATAAAGGCTCTTGCCGCAACAAGGAAACCATATTATTCATTTAATTTTGGGAAAACGTTAGCAAGAACCTAGGTTGTGACCTTCGTTAGCAAGAACCAAGGTTGTGCGTTCCTTGCTTGGTGCTCGTGCTGACAAGGATATCATTCGATCTAGCGATGGAGTTACACCATTGTTTATGGCATGTTCGGCCGGCCATGAAGAAATTGCCGGCATGTTGCTCGAGTCTGCAGCAGATGCAAATGCTGCCCGAACAACCGACGGAGCAACGCCGATGTTTCTTGCGTGCCAGAAAGGCCACATGGCCATAGTGCGTCTGCTTATGGAAAAGTCTGCAGATCAGGATCAATCTCGGCTTGACATTGGAGCTACGCCGCTGCTAGTTTCCTGTGAGTTCGGCCATACCGAAATCGTGAAGCTCTTGCTACAGAGTCGGGCGGACAAGGAGAAAGCCCGCACTGATGATGGAGCAACGCCCTTGTGCACATCGTGCTGTCATGGTCACTTAGAAGTTGCCAAGCTCCTCATTGAACAGCGTGCCCGGCTGGATGAATCGCTGACTACGACCGGAGCATCTCCGTTCTACGCAGCTTGCACCAGTGGCCACCTTGAGCTCGTGAACTTGCTGCTGGATGCGAAGGCTGATAAAGACGCAGCTCGAACAAGCGATGGAGCAACACCCCTGTTCGTTTCATGTGACTTGGAGAAGGAAGATATCGTGAACAGGTTGATCCAAGAAGGAGCAAGTGTCAATGCAGCGCGTACAAGTGATGGGACATCTCCGCTGTTCATGGCATCACAAAGAGGTTCCTAGGGATGCAAAAACCCCAACCGTTTTAAAGGTTCTACCCTCTGAGTATAAGGTGTCATAAACTACCATTTCTGTAGGGTTTTTGGGGTCGCACCCTAAACCCTGAACCCTAAACCCTAAACCAGGCTCTTCTTCCGTCGTGGCCTTGCTTCTGAAGCACTCTGCAAACCAGCTGTCGCCTGCGAGTTTGGGCATCTGGGTTCTGGAGTACCATACTTGAATACTTTTTTTTGGGACCTGTTCCTTAAGGGAACCATTATGAAATAAAAGTCTATACTTTTTTCTCCCTGGTCACTTCAAAGTCTAGGCATGTGCAAGTAGTTCGCCTTTTGTTGGAGAGCCGGTCTGACACGGAGAAAGCACGCAGCGATAATGGGGCAACCCCTCTTTTTCTGGCTTGTGATTATGAGGAGGAAGAGACAGCACGCTTGCTGCTTGAGGCACATGCATTTGCAAATGCAGCCCGCACAAGTGACGGAGCAACTCCATTGTTCATGGCATGTCAAAAGGGTGCTGCTTCAATTGTGTCTTTGCTTCTGGCGCACTCCGCCGACCAGGACCAAGCTCGCTCTGATATTGGAGCTACACCACTCACTGTGGCCTGCGAGTTTGGCCATGAAGAAGTGGTGCGTATGCTGCTAGAGCGACGTGCTGACATGGAGAAGCCGCGCGCTGATGATGGGACAACTCCACTATTCTTGGCATGTGACTTGAAGCAGGAACATGTTGCATGCTTGCTGCTTGAGGCACAAGCATGCCCACATACGGCCCGCACACTTGATGGGACCACGCCGCTGTTTATGGCATGTCAAAGAGGATCTGCCTCTGTGGTGGCCTTGCTTTTGGAGCACTCCTCAGACCCGAACCGTGGGCGCTCTGATGTTGGAGCCACACCGCTCCTTGTCGCATCCGAGTCTGGACACACGCAAGTGGTGGGCATTTTGCTAGAGCACCATGCCGACACGGAGCAGGGACGCAGCGACAACGGGGCAACTCCGTTGCTTGAAGCATGCATTCACAAGCAGGAAGGGGTCGCGCACTTGCTACTGCAGGCGCGAGCATTTGTAAATGCAGCCCGCACCAGTGATGGAGCAACACCATTGTCTGAGGCTTATCAATCAGGCTTTGCCCCATTGATTCAGTCACATGGGGTGCAACTCCTGATCGGGAGCCGTGCTGACATGGAGAAAGCACATGCAGATCGCATGACTCGAAAATCAATCACTCAAACACAATACCACCACCGTTCATACACGATTTGCCTGAGCTTGACGCATAGGGTTTCCCGAAACCCCAAACATAAAACCTAAACCCTAAACCCTAAACCCTAGACCGTAACGAAGCAGAGAGGTAATTAACAGCGGGCCCTGAATTCCTTTGTCTCTTTTATTTCATAAAGCCCGGCTCTAGAGAACTTCTATATGTAGGGGCCTAAATAATTACCTATACTGTTTTGGGGGCTCCTTACTATAATCACAGTATAACATACGCCAAAACCCTATTCTAATCATTAAGGCCCCTACACCCTAAAATCTAAAAGTAGCCCTTATAGGAGCCCTTTACAGGAACCCCCCAAAACCTATTCTAATTATTAATGCCCCTAAAACTAGGTTAAACCCTAAACCCTAAACCCCTGAAAACTAAGCCCTAAACCCTAAACCCTAAACCCTAAACCAAAATAGTTTAAACTAAACCATCGACCTCAGACCGTAAGCCCTAACCCAGACTCCAATGTTTCCGCAAACCCTCAACTGGCAGAGGTCGGCCCAAACCGTAACTTTAGGGGTTTAGGGGTTTAGG